ATTTACCTGTTACTACCACACACCCAATCCGATTGTTGGTACTTCCTGGCTTGTGTAGCCACTAGGTAACAAAATCTCAACACGGCCCCTAGCATCCTGGAGCATTTCCGTTGTGTTTTGGAGTTTGTACGTGTTTTGTCTCTGTAAATATACTTTTATTTATTCACGCCACATAAAATGTAATAAATAAATTATAAAATACAGAAACCAACTATTTACATTTCATACATTTCAACTTTTAACTACTTAAATTTTCAGCTTTTTCCTTTTAAACAAATTCAAAGTGAAACAACACAAAACACTGCAAACCACAAAACAATAAAATATTAATTAAAATATGGGGAAAAAAAGAACGCCCAGATCTTTAATTAATTAATCTTTAATTAAGGGAAAGGTTGGCATTTAGAAATATTAATATCACACTCAACTGACTGCGTTTTATCTTCCCATTGCACTGATGGGTGGACAGTTCTTAGGTGCCTGTGCATGTTGTTTGTGGAGCTGGCTCTATATGATATCCTTTTCTTGTAGACTTTACACTGTGCCTTTTTTTTGTCAATAAGATTGACGTCTGGTTCCAGACTTTGCTTCTTTTCTTTGTGTCACTCATTTTCTTTACTGTACTTTTCCAATGTGACAGCGTTGTCTCTTGTTGCTCCCGGCTCTCTTTCTTTCCCTCTCCCTCCTGCTCTTGTTGTGTGCTACTGCTGTTGCAAGTGTAACTACCGCCCAGCCCCCTCAGCTCAGTGCTGTGCAGAGGGGGGAGGGGCACAAACGCAAGGCTCTGTTTGCCGTCTCTGCTCAGCGCAAACACATGGGTGACTTGCAGTGTGAAGCAAAAAAAAGTGAAAGAGAGGGCAGGAGAAAGAAAAAAACAAACAAACAAAAAATCCACGGCTCCCAATAAGGAGCCGGTTCACATCGTTCACTTCAAAGATCCGGCTCTAAGAGCCATTTCGTTCGCGACCGACCCATCAATATTAGAAAGGCAGAGGCATATTTTCTAGTCTTTGGCTCAGAATGAAGTTGGTTTGGAAACATATTCAGCTATGCTTCATCTCCTGCTTTGCGTTTCTGTGAGCGCGACGTGCTATCAGTGTCCAAGCGTCTTGTTCCACCCCCCTTTTCATACCGCTACCACTACAATCAACTGATTTAGGTTGGTGTGCAGGTGGAGGACAATGGTGAAGCAATACAGAGATACAAGGATTGAGAAATGGAGATGTGAATATTACATATATTTTGGTTGCACAAAAGGATAACTGACGGCAAAGTGGAAACAATGATTAATAAAAAAAAACAAAACACGTTATACTGCTAACATAACTTTGGCTCTTTGCAAGCCTCTGAACAAACAGCATGCTAACGCAATGCTAGCCAAGAACCCTGCATGATTATCTTTTGCCTACATTGGGTTTGAAGTAATTAAGTCCCAGTTGACAGACACCACTACAAGCCTCTTAAATTTGAGAAGGAAAAATAGTCAGTGATCAACCACGAGGTCCCACAGCCTCAGATGACTCAAATTTAATGATAAACATATATATTTGGAATAATTTACAGGAGTGTAATTGAGAGGACAATAAGTTGCTCAATACAGCAGGAGGTGGAGGATGAGTGAGAGGTATAGTGCTGAGGCTTTGTAGACTAATCACAGTCAGAGACTATTCATCTCCCTGCAGGTTTAATTTTGAAGACGAAACACCGACAACCAATTTTGACACATTCCCAGCAGCCATTCTCACCGTCTTCCAGGTAAAGATCAATTAAGTCATGTTATATTTTTTCATACTACCACTGAACTGGACCCCTAAAGCAGTCTCTGTCTCCCCTGCAGATCCTAACTGGAGAGGACTGGAACGCAGTCATGTACCATGGGATTGAATCCCAGGGGGGTGTGCATGGGGGAATGTTCTCTTCCATTTATTTCATCGTACTTACTCTCTTTGGAAATTGTATCCTGCCTCATATATCAAGATAGATTCTCTTTGTTGACACCAGGCAGCTTTATAGCCCTGCCAAAGTTTTTATTATTGATTTGAAGATTAGCTGGACCTGTAAATACTGATTCTGTGTTTATCAATCCTTTGGTGTTTTCCTGAGAACATAAATAACCAGACACCCTCCTCAATGTGTTCTTGGCCATTGCTGTTGATAATCTTGCAAATGCCCAGGAGCTCACTAAGGTACGATATATTGTTATATATTTCATTAAATTTTTCACCCTTAGTAAAATCTTCCATGGCCTTTTACTTCATTTTTTCTTAATCCTCTGAATCATCCTCAGTCTTAACTTTAACTAAAGGTAGTCAGATTTTTGATCTATTTTTATGCCTGTTTTCTCTAAATAAAGGGCCATGGTGTGATGACAGAGGGTTAAGACACAGCACTGACAAGATTATGATGTAATCATTATGATGTCATAATCTTGGATGAGTAGGTTGATGGACATCCTTAGATTAAGGATCGAGTTCTTTAGATAACTGGAAGGTGTAGAAGAACTCTTGCAATCTTCTTTACTTAGCCCTCAGGGACATTCCATGTCAACTGGCCAAATGCTTATAACGCTGACTATCTTGGATTTCTCAGAAAAAGTCCCCTGCTAATGCTACAACACCTGGTGTAATACAAAAGCCAATTTTTGTGTTATGCCATTATTAGTTCATAATAATGAACTATGTTCATTATTATGAACATAATAACAGGGGCTATGTTGTCTGGGGGCTTTTGCCCCCTGGTAGGGTCTCCCATGGCAAATTGGCCCTGGGTGAGGGACCAGACAAAGAGCGATTCA